CCACATGCCCCTTCATTGATTCAATTTTTGACTAGACAGTTATTTGTAGTCAAAGTAAACAACTAAGTGAACTGTTGTTCTTACCATCATAACAAGAGTCATCTCTCTTCTTGGAGATTATAAACTTCGGCTTTCCAGTTCTTTTGCTTTTGTTTGTAAAATTAGCTGCCAACATAAGATCGTTATTTCTCACAAGTATCTGTATTATTTTCAGTTCTCTAGGAAGATGAGATGTAGCAACCAAACCAACATTCATTTCCAGACATCCCCAATGAACTCGAGCTGGACAGCTGTGGTTCCCTCTATGGGGAAAATGGGTTCTCGACGGCCAATGTCCAGCGATCTCTCTTCTTTTACATATAACCTGGCCTATCGCCCATTTTACCTACTTGGCTCTAAAGTTTCAGTTTGCAGTATCTGCACCCAGAGTTGCAGCATAAATGAGAATGTTTTCTAGACTTTGTACACCAAAACCCAGTCAGTGTTGAAAAATTTAACACTGTTTTATAAATCCTCAATAAACCTGTAGACTCTTGTGTAGTTTTCTGTCATTTGTCAGACAGTAACAGAATGTGAGTAAAATTATGGTAGCAATACTCTTTACTGTTCTAATTTTAAAAATGACTTACAAACTTTGGTGCATGTACTGGTTAATAAGTCCACCCCTATCTTACATTTGAACACAAAACACTAGAATTGAAAGCTCCTGAAAAAATGTTTGTGGATTTCTTGCTTCCTACCATATCTGACCTTCTAGTATGCCTAACAAATGATAAACATATTGAATACTTAAGATTTGAATTTGTGTGTGCAAGAGGTATAATAACAAAGCATTTTGGTTCATGTAATTATAGGTATATACGACGACTACTTATAAGTATTAACTATTACCACAAAACCATAAAACTATGAAATGTGTTATCATGTGAAATATTTAAGGAAAACTGTGAAATGCTGGGAATTTAGATCACAAGTCCATTTAAACATTAGAAACACTTCTGAGATATTTGTAACAGCTCTCTATTCCTGAATTGCCCCAGATACCTCCGCCACAGATTAAGGAGAAAGAAATGTGTACACTGATACGAGGTGTCAAGTGGAACAATCCAGAAAAGGTACACCGTGGGAGGGGGGTAGATAGGCCCTTTAAAGCTGAGAACAATTAGAGAATTGGAAGACATTCTCACCTGCATACAAATCCCTTGTTTCCAATGTGCATGGCTTAGACCAAAGACTACATGTGGATCATATCTCCTAACACAGATGATACAACTGCTCAATACACTATTATCTACATATTTATACATGCGGCTGCTCATGCATGCATAAAGATTAGACCCATGTTTCTCTCAGACAAACGGGTGTGTACTCAGGGAACAGGGCTGCTCCTCTGAAGGGACTGGATGTGTGATAAACCAATGACCTGTACCAGGTGCTAGAGAGTAAGTATGAGAAACGCTATGGATTTTTCAAGTCCACTGTAGTCTTTCCTGAGTACTAAAGGCAGTTTATTTAAATGTCCTCCAATAACTTGCACATCCCTTACCTTACAGGGTTGTTGGGAGGAATAAATGGAAGTAATACAGAACTAGAAAGCATCTTGCACAGGTCTTAGCTTATACATAAATAGTCAAATGTCATTTTCTACCAAATTGTCAGTTCCATCCCTATGAAGGCATGTCTTCTACGTAGAAGGCATTCCCAAATTTGTTGAAGAATGTCCACTCCAACAAGCTAGTCTTCTACATGAATTTCCACAGCCAGTTTTGGAGTGAATGAAGTAAGTTTGTACGTCTTACAGAGCACTTGCTACGATACCTCAAGTAACAGGCATCCCAGGTATATACTAAAAGACAAGGAGGACTCAGGCCCAAATGCAGGATGGTAACACTGTTTATCTCCAACAAGAAATTGTGACAACTGAAGTAAGTTTTAACACTTTAATCAACTATAATAAATCAATAATAATATAAAAGTTCTGATTCATGCATCAGATTACATAAATTATACAATGTTTACAGACTTCTGAGTTTATACCTGCAAAAATGTATACAAGTTACTAGAGCATTTACTTAAGAAGATAAGTGTAATACTCTTCAGTTATAAATAATGCTTGTATCGTTCAAATACCTGCTAAGTATACAAATTTCTAGATCTGCAGCATTTTTCGTACCTTAAAATACAAACCATCTGGAAGCTTCTGAGATTAATAAACCCAAATATATCATTAGTTACAGACTTCAATTCCATTGTAAGAGTGGATTTTTTGACAGAAAATAAATGAAATAAAATGTCAAGTCTAGTTTAATGCTTGAAGAGCTTCTACACTTCTTATTCAATACATCAGAAAAGCCTTCATATGCAGATTAATTAGTTAAGGTGCTACCTACTGCATATTAAATACTTCCAATGATTGCATCTGGATTATTAAAGTTATAAATCTGTGAAAACGAGGGCTTTCAATGTGTGCTGACAGACCCTCACATTTACTACTATGAACCAGCAGTGTGATCCTTTCCCTCTTACTTCAAAGAGATCAAGTGAATGGGCATGCTTTCTACTTTACTTACACACATACAAGTGACATCTACTGTATCTATAAGACATATGAGTACATGACCATCAAAAAGGTTTCAGCTTGCTTTAAAATTCAAGGTAGTTTGCTTTTTCTAAAAAGCCACAGAAGAAAATAAAAGCTCTAGTGTAACAATTACTATAGGTACATTAAAGACTGTAGGGTTTTTTTTTTTAAGATTCTCCTTGTTAAAGAGTAAGCACCCTTGTAGGGGGAGATTGGCAGAGGAACACAGGGGTGGAGTCAATGATGAAGGAAGGACATGAAAAAACCAATGTCACTGTCACTAATGAGCTTAGTTTTACTTAGGTTTCCATTCATGAAACCCTTTTAAATACAAGGCAACATTTTCACAGCTGGAAAATTACAACTAAATCTTGATTTACTGCCAAAAGCAATACATGTCGTTATGTATAATCTATGAATAACACTATATTCATGGGAGGACAGCAAAACTAGGCTCAAAGCAGAATATAGCAGCAAAAAGCAATACTTAAACATTTTCCATGAATGGGTTACACAATATTTTATATACAATTCTAAGTAATGGTCCTGGTATTCAATAACGTGAAGCCTAGGACTGTATGGTCAATACTTTCTAAGGTGAATCTTAGAAATGGGAGGAAAACTGGTGGTAAAACAATACTGTTTTAAATTAGGAGCAGAAACAGTTTCATTATGTAACAGAATTATTGTCAGCTTAAGATAGGCTTGAGATAAATGTCAATTCGGTACTTAAAAAAATCCTCTTGTGGAAAAAGTTTTGAGCATGCTTTTTTTTAGGCTTAAGAAGCAGAAGTAAAATCTGCTTATAAATCTATTGTAGCATGCATTATTTAATGAGCACATACATTTTATTTTCATGTTTAACCTACTAACAAAATTTATGATTAGGATATTAATATGGAAAAATAAACTAAGGTGGGTTTTTTGGTCTTTATTCTACATTGCCAGAAATTAAAATCACTGCATTTGTGCTTCTGCTCAAACACAAGAAACACTGATATGTTTACTTGGAAATTCATTTTTTTTAGTTTGTTACACTGACTGATTGTGAAAATATGTGGTAAATTTACTCTGGGTCATGAATGAAAATACATAAACATTGGCACTGAACAGTTTCAAGTAGTGGTAAATGTAGATTTCGTTTTAAATACAACATTTGTCTAAAATCTTGAAGATAAAGACACTGATTTGGTTGTGGACAATCATTCATGTATGGATAAGTCTATTCCTTAATAATTTTTATTACAGACAAAGAATTGCCCTTTAAAAATAAATTTTCTCGGGGGCTGGGGATTTAGCTCAGCAGCACAGCACCTGCCTGGCAAGTGCGAGGTTGTGAGTTTGATTCCCGATACTGGGAAAAAAAAACAAAAAAAAAACAAAATTTTTTTTCTCATAAAAAAGAACAGCAGAAACTGAAATATCATTTTAAATGAGCACTATGGAAAACAGATCCCCCCAGTACAAAAATGACATTTTGTTTCATGCTACAAAAAACATATCTGACTAAAGTGTATGATGATATCTGCAGGTAACTGTCATAATACTGAAAATGCAGTTTTGGTATGTTAAAATGTTTGGGTCCCAATAACACTATAGGAAAAAATGCTAAGAATTTTGTAACATTTAATAATTAACAAATAATTACCCAGACCTCAAATGGGAAAACAAAATCCTACACTAGGTTTTGAGGTGTATTATAGAACTTTAATTATGAGTGGAGGGAAAAGGGGATGAAAGCTATTTTTCCCTCCTAGTTTCTTAATTTTAGAAAAGTCTTTAATGTTTTGCACTTGGGAAAAATTTTCACACTTTTAAAATGTATGTTCTCATAGGAAAACTAAGGTAACTAAGAAAATATAGACAACAAGGGATTTTGGTTTATGAATCTAAGTTTGGCTAAGGACTCTTTCATTCAAAATATTAAAATGAGCAAAACTATTATAACTGCTTTGTATTTAACAATCAATAAAGCCTGAACAGAGATAATATTAGAAAAATGCAATTCATTAAAGGATGAGGAAATATATTAGTCTCCATATAGAGACAAACTTTTTATTTTAAATTCAGAAAGACACAGATATTGTTTCATAATCTTGAATAAGCACAAGATTAGCAACATTCTTATATCACTGCCTTTCAACTTGAATTTCAGAATAATTTTATATGAATATATAAAGCTAATTCATAAAGGAATCGACAGTTCTTGGGAGTGGGCTGAATAAATTTTTTGTGATAAATCAACTATTAAAAGATGATATAGAGCAATATGTAATGTCATGCTAGTGACGATCTGCTCTAAACCTCGCTCGTCCTGTAGTTAAGTCTTATTTTGGTTCAAGGCCCAAAGGCAACCATCTGTTCCATTATTTATGAAACTTGAAACCAAGCCTAATTCTTCATGCTCAGAATTTATTCGTTGCTTTGGTTTATCGGGAACCAGATGATGACTTATTTTTCCCCCCGAATTATTTTCAGATATACCTTTATAATATTTTCCTTGCTAGTGTTTTAAAGGCATGCAGAATTTCAACAAAACAAATTGTATTAGTTTACCTTCTGCGTATACCTTAAAACTCTGTTAGGTAAAAATTAATTTAAAGGCATTCACACTGCTGTGAAGTTAATGAAGTGTCCTAAAACTTGAAGGAACTCACATGATTATTTTGAAAAAGAGCTACAGTTTGACACAGGAATCATATATAGCAGCTTACTTTGAAACCAAGGTTCACACAGTCAAGAGTGACTTGAAGCAGCTTCTCCATAATGAGTTTTAGTGGTAGGAACGACGATTTGTCTTGCATTAAAAGAGCAAATATACACTTTCAACCTATGAAATTGTTATCCTAACCTAGAGGCCACCAGCCTTCTAAAAACACATGTTTATGTGAGGTATATGCATGTATTTTATAGACAAAGATACATGAACATACATATATATTCACGTGTATATATGTATATAAAATATGCAGTTTTTTAGTAGTGTTAATAATGAGCAGTATTCCTGAAGCTAAATGCCTACAAATTGACTTCTGAGAATCCAGCCATAGTACCACTTCTGCTTTATGAAAAATCTATTCCTGAGGACTAATTTGTGAACTTGTGAAGGTATTTCCGGGCCGATGGCAGATTAGTGGCCAGCGCCAGCACCAGCACCCAAATGAACCCCATGGAAATGCTTATTCATCAAGAATCTGGCCCATTTTTCACTTTAAAAGTTTGCTCACTTCAAAGGTCACTCTTGATAGCCCCTGCTAATATTTACAGGTAAAATAACTTTTCACAATGAAAGAGTATGCAGTGAAAGCTGATAGTGTTGTCTCTTCCAGTGGCAAGTCCTTCCTTCCTTCCTCCCTCCCTTTTTTTAATTCCTTTCTCCCTTCCTCCCTCCCTCTTTCTCTTGCTCTCTCTCTATCCAATTGCAAATGCAGCACACTTGGCTTTATTCACTGTTGGAGAACTTGCCAGCTTTCCTGGATGGTTCGTATGGCACTCTGAGGATACTGGGTGTTTCTTCCATCACCCGGACGAGGAGGTTGTCGATGTAGTCCTCAAGCTCCCGGATGTGGGTGTCTTTTCTCCGAAGGAGTTCTTTGTGTTTCACTAGCTCTTGTAGTACCTCTTCATAGGTCAGACTACGGTACCCTGCAGTGGCATCGAAAGGATTGCTGTCCTGGAATGGGGTACAGACTGTCACTTTAGCATAGAGTATCAGGGGTAAACATTAAGAATTATTTAATACCTCAACTTCGGTATTTCAACCCTAACGAAGTTTCCCTCCATCCTCAGCTAGAACTAATGTGACAGTTGCCAGATTGGTTGGCTAATTCTGAGGCAGAACCTAGGGCAGATGCACCAAAGCCTTGATTATAACTCTCTTAAGTTCTAAGTCCCTTTGTCCATTATGAACAGTTTCCTAATATAAGAAACTCACACATAGTTTAAGACTAAATTAAGGAATAAGGTGCTCTATAATTTAGAACTAAAAGCTACTATGTCGAAGGGAATATAAAAATAAAAACATCTAAGAATTACCTTAGAGGAACTAGAAGATATTGCAAACTACACATTTGAACATTAATCCTCATGGAATTGCTTCCATTGAAATGTGGTGTTAACATTTATATTAGCTTTTTACTGAAAAAAGCTGTAAGAAGCAGCACCATCAATACACTTCTTGAAACTTTCTATGAAATGTTGAGAGCACTTGGAATTAAACTGATGAGCATCCTTATAAAAACCTCCATGTAACTTCTGTTTTAATTTAGAGGCAGCAGAGATTTTCCCCGCTGAGTAACTAGTATTTTTCTCCTCCTATAAAAATACCCATATAATTCATCTTATTTCCCTTTTTACCCTGGTTATCAAGAAACTCAAGAGTTTTATTACAAACCATGGTAATATTTATGGTTAGTATATCTCTATTCTATCCCACTTTATTTACTGACTAGATAATCCTTATGTATTAATAAAATAATTTTAAAAACAAAAGCATAAATATAACCAAAAAAGGAAAACAGTATTTATTTCATTTTCATTACAAAGCATTCTAGTACTAATGGGACACCAACAGCCAAAGAAAAATATTTCTTAAGAATCAAGAAAGATACTGTACTTTATTGATACTGTGTAGCACTTAAGAGTTTTCATTTGGAAAATGCCCAAATATAAAGTAGTGACTTTTATGCCTTTTCAACATAGTTCTGTCACTAAATCCAACAACTTAAAATAAACTTCGTCACTTTTGTTCAAAACATTTCTATTTGTTTTAAGAAAACTAAACTAAAATATTAAGGAAGTTGGTTTTCTTGCTCTTAAAGACTAAGAGACTATTTAGTGAAGGATGGGGAACGGAACCGGTTATCGCAGAAAGACCCTTTGCCACAGAAATTAAGTGTCTTTCTCCATGTTCAGTGTCTACTTTGCTAGGAGCTCTACAGCTTCTCAGGAAGTCCAAAGCTGAACTCTGCCATGCACCCCAACCCAGAGCACCAGACTCTGGCAGCACCACAGAAACAGAAACTAATGTTCAGATACCAATTTGATGCGGGGGTCAGTGAAGCACACTCCTTTGTCCGGGACAAACCAACACACTCAGGACTGAAAAACCCCCATTCCTTAGAAGTTCTCAGGCTTCGTGAAGAAGACAGAGCTTGCTCTAGGCCAGCAGAGACTGTAGGCAAAAATGTACACCGGGCATTTCAAGCACTGGGGGATGGTTGTTCAATTAGGAATCAAAGCCCTAGGCACAGTGGAGAATGGCTATTACTGGAGAATGGCTGGAAAATGAAGGAAAAACAGGAAGCGGAGACACTAAAATGAAAGGTTCCAAACAAGCACCAAGGACACTACAAGCTATGAGAAGAGTTTTAGACGTTTGTTATGGGAAATGAGAAACCACTGAAGGTTTCTAAATAGAGAAACGGTATGACTGAAGCTATGTTCTAAGAAAATCCAAATTGCGAGAATGGTAAGATCATTTGGAGGTGCTGAGATTATTTACAGGACTACTGAGATACTAAAGACTAGAGTTAATAAGGATGAACAGAGGACGTATCAAAAGGATGTAAGTGTAAATTCTGTAAGATATGTTTAAAACTACTTATGACATTTTGGCATTGAAAACTGGAAAAATTAAGTTATTTTGTGAGTTATTTTTGTCCCTGAAAACACTGCTCTAAAACCATTAAGTGACAATTCTGAGGGTGCTGGCTTTTTATTTTATTTTCTTTTGGATTAATTAAGTTTACACACATAGTGAGGTTCATTTAGTTACTAGTTCAATTAACTGTTCATGAGTTTAGATGTAACATTATAAATGTCTTAATTATATTTTCATAAAGATATACCAAGAAGGTAAGCATATTTTTTAAATTTGTCAAAGGTACAGTTTCTTCTTCAATCCAAGTAATATTGTACATATTTGAGGCAGTAATCAAATTAGATCTTACTTTTCTTATCTAATAAATGAGATGATCTCCATGGTTTCTTTCAACTCTCAGATTTTGTATTCTACCAAGTGATTTTTCTGAACTGCATTTTTATAGGTAATTGTCCCAACTACTGTGATTTCATTTTTCTAATAACATTTACTGAAAAATGGGAGCTTTTATATGAACTGAAGGAATTAATGAAATTAAACTAAATGGGATATGTTACTGAGTGGTAGACTGCTTAATGTTTTTTCTTAATTTAACATAATAATAGCATCTGTTCCAGTCTCTAATCTTAATGAAATTATACATAAACAAATTGATTTTTCCAAAATAATTAAGTGATGATACAGTTAAAAAAACATTTGCACTAGTATGCTGGACACTATGTAAGTAATAATGGTTAATACAGTTAAATTTTTTAGAACACTTCTCTGAAGACAATGAGGATGAAAGATGGCAGAAGTTCCTGGTTTCAATATAATTAGTTAAAAGTAATATGATATAAGTCAACCTAACAATTTCTCAGGGTAAACTATTATCTCAGAATGCTGTCCAACACTTTACCGCCATAACTGAAAAGATACCAATATAGTCTTTTTTCCCCTCACTATAGTGACATATAAATTTCCTGAAAATACATGTCTGTTATTTTCAGTAACATTTCCCTTTGTCCTTTAATGTGACAATTTTATCCTAAATTTCAGCATCAAGTTTCTGGGCAGGAAAACATCTTAGAAACACATGTACTGTAAACTGTACTCTGGAAAAGAATACAAAATAATTAAAAACAGTTTCAGGTTTGGTTCCAGATTTTATTCAATATTTGAAATCCATATAAACCTTCTAATTTTAGGCATAACATTCTTACACTGACAGATCTACTCAATAAATATATATCCTTCTGTTTATGTAAATCCAAAGAAAATAACATAAAGATTAACATTAACTAGTGTAAATAACAGAAAACTATACTCTGGTTATAAAAATTAAGTTTGCTTAAAGAGGAAAACTCTCAGGGAAATATAAAAATTGTTGTTTCAAGATGCATTTACTATTGTTCTTGGAAAAAATTTGAAAACTGAGAAATTTCTGAACTGTATAAAGACCAACCAAACACAACCCACAATGAAGCTCTTAACTACTCAGTACTTTTTCCTATAGCACTCCATATAGACAGCACATATGTTTTTAAGATGTCTTATTTTGAAATCTAATGTAAATTTTCTTTTCTTTTCCCCTTTCACAACCAAGCCTGCTCATTCCTATTGTGCCTCTGCTAAAAAATGTCCATATGCAGATAGAGAAAACGGGGTTTGGACGAGAAATAGCAGAATTATCACATGAAATTTTTTAATCAGAATTTTAAATAACAGAGTTGTATATAAGACTGAGAATTACTAGTGATCTATTTTTACGTAACACACAATCTAGCCTTTTTAAGATAGGAAATATACATTTTTTACAATATTTAAATTTAAACAAAAGCAAATTATCAGGACTCAAAATAACTGAAGATTTAAAGAAAGGTTGTCCTGGCAACCAAATATTGGTGGGGCACTAACTGACATCCAAGGCAACTAGAGGGGAGAGAGTGAGAGAAGATGAAGGTTTGGCATTCTCCGATCATCTCATTATTGTTCTAATGAGGAACTTTGCTCTGGGAATATCATCTCAGCTACTTTCACATCTTTTGTCCTCCTCCCTTCATCTCCCTTTCAGTTCTTAATTAGGCCTTAAAGAGCTCACACTGCCCTTTCAACTGGCTACTGCTCCTGCTTAAACACTGCGCTTTCACAGACAGGTGTTGGCACCAGCAGAGACGATGTACAAACTTAATTACAAAATACTATGTCCAGAAGGGAAGAAAATAACTCGGTGGACGGCTATTACTGGAGAACTTAATGTAAATTACTTCAAACATCTTATAATCTCCAACATAAAAATTGTTCAAATACTTTTCCTCAATAACAGTCAGTGTAAGGATGAGCTTTCTCCCTTAATTGTATCTTGCAGTGAATTAACAACATGTAGTAATCCTTTAACTGTCATTTAGAATAGTTAGCATTCCAGAGAAAAATAATCACACATCATGGATTCTTTTATCACCTTTAAATCCTTTAACTAAAACAATTTTCACATTTTATTTCTTTAAAGATTTCTAAGGATGCTTTAATAGCAATAAATTACAAGATTTGGAAAAGTACATTTACAAGCACATAGAAATTGTAATTAAGGTTACTTAATAAACAATGGCTACACATTAAATCGATTTTTTGATGTTGCATTTTGTTTGAGATTAAGTAACTGCCTGATAGAATTCATTTTACTATCTGATCAAAGGCTGACTTCATATATTCTGACATTTCTTGCCAGACTGCCATATTATAAAGACTTCAGTATTTCTGAAACATCAAAACTCACAAATCATTTACATAAAACAGCAAAAACACAGTACAAAGTCCTGTGCTTCTGCAATGTTTTCTACAATTTTAAAGACAGACAACTGCATTTAAATTTATAAAGTAAATTCTAACTCCACCTCTACTTCTTTTAGGCATATCACATCATAGAAACTCATGATATGTGATCGCTTAAAAAAATTCGTATTTTACATCTGGATCACACACATTAAGGGCAGATGGTGGAAACAGCAACCACAAGACTCTTGAAATAAAGGCTCTATTTCTGTTTTTTAGAGAGAATTTAGGTTTCTACTAAGAACATTTGCTCATATTTTTATAAAGTAACTTATTATCTAGATGTAATGTATTTAGAATTTAACTCTGAAATCCAACACTGGACTTCAGATAACAATAGAAATGAAGTTAAGACAGCAAAAATAATTCTTGCAGAATATGTGAGTGGACTTGGCTGGTGGCCGCCAGTCCTAGTAATATACAATATATGGTTTTGTCCTGACCAGCAAGGCAAGTATCCTAAAGCATTTGTTTTTATATTTCTCAAATATTTTCTTGGTTAACCAGGTCTCTTGCTGGCTGCTTTCCTGATTGTTGAATGTTAACGAGCAGCTTTATTCCTTCTGCAGGTTTCATTCCAACAACAACACATCAGTCTTTTCCACGTGCTCTTAATGCATAACTAAAATGTCCACTTTAACATACTGTTGCTAAACAAAGTGCAAACAAGATATTTAATTCTAAATTGCTTCAATTATAACTGCGTGAACTGGTCACATACAGAAGCTACACCCTTTCATATACTAAAGCAAAGGCTGAATTTCACTTTCCCTCTTGCTCCCCCCAAATAAAGCAGATCTACAACACTTCAGCAACTGAAGTATTAAGGAGAGGGAGGTATTTTGAGGATTGTGTGCCTAAGAGAAGACCAGTTTGCTCTTTAGGAATACTCTAACCCCCTCAGCAACTTACCGGGATTTTCCTGAGGTCTTCATTGCTTGTCAGATTCATATGAAAACTAAGTAATAAAACAAATATAAACATTAAAAGTGTGTTATAGTCCACATGGCAGGAAACAGAATGAGAAAATTCTTAACCAACATTGCAATAAAAATTTCTAGAGTCCAAACTTACTCAGAGAAATGAAGTTGAATCCAAGATGTAAAAGGAAAACAGCAATCACTCAACATTCTTAACATTCACTTAGCTATAATTTTAAACTGTGCAGGAAATCTCTTCAGTTATCAGAATTGAGTATTATGTGTAGTTTCTAAATATCTTTAAGCATAGTATTTTACTCAGCAAGGTACATTATAAAATTAGTTTTTATGACATTATTCATTTTATACACACACTAATTCACCTTAGGACTTGATATGAAACTATGGAGGCTTAAGTAAATTTATGTTTGGAAAGAATAAAAGAGTTAAAGTACTCTCTGTTTAAAATGCTAGAGGTATTAGAAAAATTAACTATCCAACATTACCCTATCAATGAGAATGAGTTCAGATTGGTACGAACCATTTCTGTCATTAATGCGATTTCTAAGTAGCCAGCTTTCAAAATTTAAAGGCTGAAACAGACCAAAGCAAAACAGATTTCTTCCATGCAGAGAATAAGAAAACATCACAGCTGAATGCTATAACCATTTTTGTCTTTGAAACATGTCCATTAGGACCGGGACTATAACCCAAAAGAAGCTCAACTTCAAAGCCATTTGATGAGTAAATATTTCATCAGTGCTTTTCAAGTTTAATTTTTACCCAGCACTTAAGAGTATTAGCCTCAGAACTGCTACAAAGCATTACTGTCCTACAAGCCTTTTTACTTCACGCACACAAGAAAAGACTTACTGTAAGATATGTATTTTTTTCATTATTTGCATATTATCAGCCAAAAAAACTGGAATCCTTTGAAGATTTAAGAAATTCACTTTTGAAACTTATGAGTGTGTGACAGAAAGTATGGACACTAGATATCCAAGCTGGAAAATATTTATAATTACAAGTATATATCCTAAGGCACATAGGCACATACAGCCACATCAAGAGACTGTCACACAGCCAAAGTCTCATTTGTTATGACTAAGATTTGTAGTATGAGCTTCCAAGAATTGGTTGCTGACCTTTTCCAGGTAGAGATCCTGTTGATGAACTTAACATTTCGGTAGGGCTGGGCAACACAGCAGACAAGAGTGAAACATGTTTAAATACCTACAAGGCACTGTTTCCAAGTTTATGTGGCTGCAGCCTTTTCTCATTCCCTGTATCTCACCATCTCTGCGGTGTTGTACCTGCTCTAAGACTGGTGTCACTATACCAGTAAAGTCTAGAGTGGCTGAAAAGAAAACAACAAAAACAAAATCCAGAGAGTTTCACATAGTCCACCTTGCCCTAGAATGCAGCGGTAGCAGCTGCTGACACATGTGATTTCCAATCCAAGACTGTCGAGAGAGGCATCCAATGGGGCTAAGCCCTCCTTGCGCCCCATTATCTCACAGTATTGTTTCTGATGAGTCAAGAAACACGTTCTAGTGTATTATTCTCCATCTGACCGATATTCTTGAAGACAAATGATTTATACCGTTGTCTACCAGAACACCAATGTACTCATGAGCAGAGAACTGACTGAGGATTCTGGAGCAAGGCAGTATGCATTCAAATCCTGGTTCCACCTTATACCACTGTGAACTTGAGGGAACTATTTAACACTTATTATCTCATTCTTTCACTGTAAAATGGGGTGGAAAAATAGCATGATTAAACACTATTCTATGTAAGATACAAAACACAGAATAGTGACTAGCAGGGAGGACATGTGTAATAAACATGTAAACATTGCATAGCACTGTATCAGACAGTTTCAAGCACTTTACCAAAATTAAGACAGACTTCATGACCCCGAAGGGGGTCATACGGTTCCATATCGTTTTATCCTCCATACCTTCATTTTAAAAACACAACAGCAAGTCACAGAGAGGCTGGGTGACACACACACAACACTAGTCCTTTTCTCTCTATATAGATCTTCACAAGCACTGGTTGTACTGCAGATGCCCTGAACTAAGAGGCCACACAAATTGATCAGGTAATACCACCTCATGGTGAGAAAACATGAGGCAGAGCTGTACTTGGGGGAAGCAGGGGAGAGCACTCTTGATAATTTTATTTTTAGAGCACACAAAAAACCACAATGTTCTATTATAGCAAGTCAGCAAGCAGGGCCCACTTCACAGAAAAAGCAGGATCTGAAGTTACGGAAAGGAGCTGGGGCATACCTCAGCAATAGTGTTTGCCCAGCATACATGAGCCGTTGGGTTCCAGTGGAAAAGGTAGACCTGGTAGGCTAGAGGAGGAGGAGAGCTCTGTAGACCACCTGGCATGGTCTGGAGCTGCAGGACAGTACCATCAGGGCACGGTACTGAAGAGACTAGAATACCAGCAACTGGGGAAAAGAGACCCTGAAGGGTTCTCAGGCCAAAGACGATCTTGGACATTTAGATGTTTTATATTTGGTGGCACAATCCATCCTATTACATCCTTGAGAATGAACAATATTATGACTATATAAATTCTAGTGTTATGTCTCAGGAATTCTACAAATATTCTATTTGTTGTAATAAGGGCTTTTAAGGAACAGTCTTTTAGGACAATGATTTTACTAACAAAACACAAACCTAACAATACATAGTAACCTGTAACTTTCACTTAGGAAGTCAAGTGAAACTCAATGACCACTGAAAATTCTTAAGAATGGTTAAGTTTAAAAGGCTCCGACTGTGAGGGAAGGGCATGCAGGACAGCAGCCCCAGCCCTTCTCCATTGTACCTGAATGTGTGAGTGAGCTGAGACCCTTAGCCCAGCCCAGTGCATGTCTGAGTGAGGCTCTTGTAATGGGTATTGTGTGAGCTCTAAAGGCCGATCCCCTCCCTTGTGGTCTGCTTTATACTCACACACTGACATGTCAAACACATGACGAACTCGGTCATTCATGACTGCCTTTTTTGATCTGTCCTTACGGGGAAAAAAAGAGTTAACTGAACTGGATTGAATTAGCTTGGTGAAAAATAAAATGTCTCTATTTATCGAAGTGTGGCACCAATTTGTGATATCTTTCTCTTTGGACTGGTGTCCTCATGTCAGACAAGATATCAAATAATATAGTCTGACTGCTCAATTGAGCTGCTGACAGGTTAAGGGAAATGGTGTTTTGAATCAGGTATAAAAGAAACTCAGACACGCTCATGCTGAAAAAAGTTTATATAAACTGAGATTTCAGAATTTCAGAAGTTTAATTTCAGAAGTCAGAAATGCAGTCTGAAGGAGGCAGAGGATTTTAAAGTAACAAACTGATGAAACTATTTTAAGTTAATATTTTTAAAAAAATATTTTAAATTGACCTTAACATTCAGAAGTTTTTGGGCAAGAGCCTGAATTTTTAATTTTATGCTATTTCTAAATTTTAAAAAATTTTTCCAAGTAAACTGTAATTCTAATATTTAAAATTAAGTTTTAAATTTTTTTGAATTTTTTTATTTTAAAGAGAAAAACAAAAATGATAAAAAACAATTTCAAAACAAGATAGTAGGATACTAACAATGGTTACTATATTGCATATTGTTATCTTTAAAGTAGTTGCTCAGGTTATAACATATAGGTACGCAAAATCAATCAAACAATGTAAGCACGAACTGTTTTTCTCAATGAATAGAAATTAGTAGTATAACTGTCTTAGCTATCTTGTGTGTGTGCGTGTATATATAAATATTTTTCTTTTCCTTTCCTTTTCTCTTTTCCCCCATTTCAGTTGTTCTTTCCTTTTGAGCAGTTTCTTTCCCTTTCACAATATCTATTGTACATTTTGGATCTTGTTTACTCTTTCAGTTTCTTATACTAGGGAGACAGTACAATTTTTACACATGTGCAGTTTTCCAATATTATTCTCGGAATCATTTGCATTTCTTCTATAGTATATTTCTTCATCCTAAAGTTACAATGAATTGTGAATAAACAATTAGGAAGTAAATTCGTGAGAAATTACAGTTGAAATTGTCCTTCAATGTGTGCTGTGGATTAGTTGTCCATTATATAGGTCAGAATAACAAACTAATCTCTAAAGTGAGAAACCGATTACTGCATCAATCATTAGGGGATCTGACCGCAAAATGTGGTTTCTTTTTTAAAAAATTATATATATATATATATATATATATATATATATATACACACTCTTTTAGAACAACAATACCTAGGAAGTGGAAGAGACTATTCAGAGTGAGAAAGCATAAAATGCTGTAAAAATAAAAAACATAGGTAAGAACAAAGCTCTACAGAAACTGTTTAACAGTGCTACTATGAGCCAATGCGTACTGTGTTGGCTGTAGGATATTAAGTATTTCAAAGAGAAGGCATGTAACTACCTTAAAAGGTTTTGGTATTTCAAAAGTCTGATTAGGGCACCACTGCACCTTCCATAACAGCTCTCTCCAAACCCCAGTACTGCAGAAATTATAAAGCAAAATATCTTGGCCTAAAGCGTGACCCCTTTTGCATTTAATAAGTGAATTCAAATTATTTGCAAAATCCAGAGGTGTGCCACCTGGTGGGGGGAGGGAAGTAAATAAAAGGTGGGAATGATAAAAGAAGTAACTTGCTCAAACTTCGGTCAATTCCTTATTGTGTATGGGAGATGCACGCATAACTTTAAAGTATCACAAGATAACTTTTGACATTAATTATTTTCAAATAATTGGTCTTGTTTAACTGAGGGAGTGGGATCTGGAAACCTAGAGCTTCACATCAGTGACAACGATGAAATGAATGCTATTTTTAAACTACTTATGGATAAGGAAATGGGTACAGAGAAGTCAAGAAGGTTACCCAAGTTAATACCAAGAGCAGAGTCAACATGAAAAGGCACCCCAACTCTACAGTCCAAGCTCTTGAGCCCATGTAATTATATACTTCTTTCTTTCCCCATGCAGATTCTAAGCTATGCAATCCTGTGAGTTTTTTTGGA